GGTGTCGGCGTTCTGGTAGAACCGACTGAAAAAATCATCGAATGAAAGCCTGTCACCGGAAGATCGGCGATCATTTGAATAAGACTACAACAGGCTAAATCTTTGACCTTGTTACAGATGTATACGATCAGTTTGGAGGGAAATTATTAGTCCTTCTTTGAGGAAGTGGGCGATGCTCTGAACGAAGTGCTCGCTACGGAGTCACTTATTCAAATGATCGATATCAGTGCGCATGTCAGAATAGGCACTGAAAAGTGAAAAGCGTGATTGGAGGTAATGACACTTGCGACCTCAACAATAACAGCTTGAAGTTGTTGCGGTTTATTGCAAACAACGGATTGTCCATTATGAACACCTTCTTCGAGCATCGAAGAGCGCATCAGTACACCTGGTACCGGGAAGCTTATGCACAGAAGTCAATGATCTATGTGATAATCGTATTGTCTCACTTACGAGGTCAGTAATGGATGTTCGCGTAAAGAGTGTCAACCGATCATCAGATTGTTGTAAGCGCGCTATTCTGTGAGTGACTGACTACCTGTTGCTAAAACCAACCAGAAAATCAAATGGGAAATATTATCTTAAGAGAGAAAGTTGTAGACAGCATCGCCCGACAATTTCAACAAATCACGGTGATGTGGAAACATGGTCGAAGCTGTTTAAACACGGCTTTCTCGGCGTTGGACTACCGCCTGGAGGTCATTAAAGATCTTCCTGTGGACACGAGAGGTACAACTGGCAGTTAAAGAGAAGAAGGCAGCGTTGAAGATATGGCTTGGAAGCTCAGAGCCTGCGATTCGAATGCGGTATGTAAAAGCGCGCAATGCGACGGCTAAAGTAATGGCTAAGGTCAATGCAGATTCCGAGGAGAAGTGAGGGGTTGCAATTCGATTTTTCAGGGGGCAAACAAGGTATGCTAACAGTCCACCTGCCGATTCCGAAGTGAAAAGAAGGCTAGTCTAATTATCTTGAAGGGCAACTCTGGAAATCCTTTTACCAAGGATAAGGATATTCTTCGGCGATGGAGAGAGTACTTTGAGGAACTCCTTAACTCTGACCAACAGGAGAAAGGCTCATCGTCCGCCACGTTGTTGAGAAATCGTGCTAGTTCGCTGGTTCGATTTGCACGTGCTTTGTGGGCCTATAGAAATTCTGACTGGATACCCACAACAATGTTTGCACGTGCTTGCAAAAACGTGTAGAATAGATGGCCAGTTGCTACCTGCCATTCATTCACTACATGCTAGTGGCAGATACGTCAGAGTACAAAGCGTTGAGTAGAGACCTTTCAACTTTGGCAGTGTTCTCCGCCAAGGCTACGTTTTGTCCCCTCTCCTGTCTGTTGTACATGGATAGAATAGTCCATAGCAGCCAAGGTGATGAGTGTATCGGTGTAGAAGAGGTGAAGACGAGAAGGTTGCTGTTTTATTTGCATCTTCTGAAATTGATTTGCAGTGGTCCCTAGAGTGGTTCGCAGTCCAGTGGGACGTGACCGGCATGCGTGTGAACGCATCTAAGACGAAAATCCTGGTGCTTTCTCGTTCTCCTGTCCGTTGCTCTCTTCGGGTTAATGGAGAGGCAGTGGAGCAGGTGGAGAAATTTAAGTACCCTCGTAATTGTATTTACTGGTGATGAAAAGTTGGAGAAAGAGATCGACCGGTGATTTGGAGTAGCCAGTGGCATTCTGCCTGAATTAGCCTGACCCATTGTGACTAAAGCAGAGCTCAGTCTGAAAACTAAGCTCTCCGTTTTAAAATTAAAATCGATTTTTATCCCCATACTTACCTACGGTCATGAATAGTGGACCATCACTAAAAAACTTCGAACCCGGGTACAAGCTGTTAAAATGGGTCGCTGGCCTTACGCGTCTCGACATGGTCCGGAATACTGACATCCGGAAGAGCCTTGGTGCTTCTTCAGGTTGAAAGTTACAGTTGCGATGGTTTTGGCACGTGTTGCGAATACCTCCAGAAAGGAAGGCGATCCAACTACTATTTGTCAAGCCGACTATCAAACACCCATGGGAGGGCCAAGATTAGCCTGGTGCAAGTGTATTGGATGAGTATGCTTTAGGCAATCTTCTGCCCGAACTCAAAAGCTGGCTTAGAATTGGGAACGTTGGAAGCAGTGTGTCTCACGTGTTCTATCGCGACCCGAAAGTAGAAGCGGCCATAGTTAGTGAAGTGAAGCGCTTAATATCAGGTCTCAGTAAAGCATAGTATTTTTTTACGTCATCATCTGTTTCTGAAGCATAGCGCTGTATGGCTGTGTTGAGGGGA